CATCTCAATTTGTGACTACTATCGAGGCGGTTGAAAAATGTGAGAGAGTCATGTCGAGAGAAAATTTTGTATTGCTTAGTGAGACAGGAAAGACCGGGTGACCCGCGCACAGCCGGCCGCCCAAAACCTTGACCTTTCTCTGCTTCGCGAGGCGCGGGGCGGGGCGGGAGTCAGTCCGAGCCGGGCCATCGTCATATATACCGTTAATCGCGCACTCTCCCTCGCTGAGCTAGGTCGGTTGGACGGTCGAGTGCTGCCCGGCCCGCCTTACGCCCGCCTCCCACCTCCTACATCACCCATACCCAGCAGCAGCGGGCGCGTGGCGCTGCCGCTATGGGGACACGTATCGAGGAGGCAGAGTTAAGATAACAAAAGGACGCGGACCCTTCGAAGTGCTCTTACGCGTCATCAGAGTCATTGGTCTTCAGTGACCAATGGGTGCGCCGGAAAGGACTATATCCGCTTATCAGATAAAGGATGGACTATAGCATTATAATGCTAGGTAAGAGGCCTTCTAATTGCGTCCTAACGACCTTTCACGTTGGAATAAACGTAGAAGTTTGCAGGGGGGATACACCCCCCCACACACACACACACACTCGCACAAATATTTCATTTACCCTGTCACCGAAACCGGTACAAATAAGGAGCGCCGTGTCGGCGGCCAGACCTGCCGTCGAGGTAGGCGGGGCAGCTATCAGTTGTTCACTTCCTCTTTACTGATAACCTCCATAAAAGTTGGCAATGCGGGATTTCCTGTTTCTTCCTGCACCCTACTTTGCCTGCCTCGCACTATTAACGATTTAAGTCCACGCCTGCAAAATGAAATGTCGCATCGGCATGTCCGATTACTCCCAGAAAATCGAGTCACTGTGACAGAAGTCAAAGGCCTTGAATGTTGAATCCAATCATCAATCTAGGCCATACAAGCATTAAATTTAAAAAAAAAACTATAGGACAAGTTGTCCATATTTTCTCACTTTTAAATCAATAACCCAGCAGTAAGCACGAAAACCTCACGTTTGGACTCATTTGGGTCATTTTCAGCTTTTGACTGTTCAAGTAGGTCTCTATCTGACTAAATTTTCACTTACCAGTTTAAATTTAGGCAGAAAAAGACCCACTTTCACAGTCAAAACCTGAAAACCACTACAAATGGGTATCCCGGTGGAGTATTTATTGTTTATTGGGAGTTTCCTATATAGCGTGATATTCTTTTTGTTTCGAGGACTCCCTCCCCCTGAACGAAGGAAAGTCCCACATCAATAAATAAGGGAAAATTGTCCTAGGTTCTTTTTTCAGGAAAATAATTTTTGGACCTACCCGGTGTGTCAGACTTTAGACCGGACGCTGAGTGTTGCGGGTTTGCCTACTCCCTCCGCCCGTCAGGCACCATGGCCCCTGCGGCCCAAGAGGGTATGCAGTCCTGCAAAACAGCGGCGTCCGCTCTGATACACCCGGTACTAAGTTCTGATCAACGTCACAAACTGTAACGAGTTCAAAACACTGGGTCATGGCTTTGTGGCTCTACTCTGCGGTCTCGCCGCCCGCCCAATGCGATAAGTGTCGCTGTCGCTACTAGTTGGGATTACCGAGCTAGTTCGGGTAGGTCATCGAGCGCTGCACGATAGCTTAGGCCCAATCTCAAGGAACCACTAGGAGATGACGGGAGAGGTTTTCCGCCAAGAAGGGTAGAGATCTTGATTGCGTCATGAACTGCGCGACATTTGAAATTTGGCGGATTTAAGACAGGGGAAAAGTAGTGCGAGAAAGCAAGCGAAATACGCGGCAGTGAGAACAAATTCAGAAGAAGTTAGTACAAAAGCCATTTCTATGAAGCATCGCCTGTTTTTAAACACCTTCGAATCACACAAAAGTTTCTGTTTCAATTTTGCGAGTGAACAAGTATGGTTTGGGAATGTTGGCAGCATTTTCAAGGCTGAAACTCCACAAAGTCCCAAAATCCAAGGCGTCCAAATTTTTTAATTCAAACGACAGCCTTACAGAATCAAAGTAACTTGTTCACTGAACTCAACCTATTTTAGCATTCACCCCTTTCTAGACAACACTCAACTGTGGCAGGCTGTTATTGACACACAATACATAGAAACAAGGGCGCCTTAACCTCCATGTACAACTCAAAGTTCGATGACTGTCTGCTTGAGCAACTTGCATTTCCCTTTGAAATAAAATACGATAGGATCCACAAACGCTACATCTTACAGGAAATGAACTGCGGTTATCCTCACTTTCTTAGTTTCAAGGCGTGACAACAACGGTGAGACGTCTGGAATGAAATTAGAGGAGAAGGTCCTTCGTATTTTGCGCTACAAAGTCCTTAACGTCACCTTACTGGGCAATGACAGTTTCCATTTTTGGATATTGACGCATTTTTCATTATACTTCAAAAATGAAAGATTTTTTTTTCAAACTATTTTCCTTTTGATTTTATGGCGAAATTCACATTTATTGCGAGAGTCACATTGAGATTTCCTGACAAGAGTAGTACGCCGCCTCGGCGAACGTCTCAGCCAATGAGAGCCCACCACGATCAGAGGGTGCCACGACAGCCGCCCTCGCGCTGAATGGTCCTCACTCTATCCAAAGCCACGGCAGGTGTAAGGCGTCTGAGCGTTTGGGGAGCTCTCACACACCGGGAAAATGATTTGGCCTAAGGTTGCCTTGTTACTGGCCGCGGTTGCCCTTGCGGCCGGCGCCGAAGATGTGGACGACAAAGAAGTAATTGTTTTAACTAAGGCCAACTTCCAAGAAACCATTTCTTCCAACGAGTTCCTCCTCGTCGAATTCTGTAAGTCAAAACATCGACAAGTGTTGGTCCATAAAGCCAGATGTTTTAGTCGAGCTGAAAAACAACTACTTAATTGACATTCAACTCCTTATTTTTTACTCTCCCGTGTTCATTTATTGAAAGTATGCCTCGCTTAGGTTCAATTTCATTAGTTGAAACTAGCTGCTAGGATTGTTGCTGTCACGTACGTGGTTACACGTTGCACCAGCCCCGGCCTATGTTGCTTACGTAGACTACACAATACTCCTCATTTTCTTCGAGTTTCATACGAACATATATGGCTTATTTATGGCAGTAGTTAAAGGAATTTTTGTATTTGTCAACTCAGACTTGCTAGTTTTGTCTAGTACTTCAGATTGCATTTGGTTCATTAAAAGTTTTAATTGAACCCACTGTTCCTTTGAACATTCTAATATTTGTTCTTGAGTAAAATCTAGATTTAAATATTCTCCTGTTTCTGCTAAGTGCATTGTTCAGTATTGTTAGGGGAATCAAAACCTATAAATTTATTGCTCACCATCTGACTTGGTATTCTGAGGTTAATGACCTGTTGTGCTTAACAAATGTTTCAAGTTAAGTTAGGTAACCTTTCTATTCAATTTCCCCAATTATTTTCCCACAATTCATTTATTTGAGTTTTGAAAATGGGTCGGAAACTTTCCATATGAAGTAAATATTTTTCGGCAGTGTTCAATTAGATTTTCTAACCATTAACAGCTGCAGCTTGTCACATTGCAATTATTATTTTTGTGGTATGATCATTATACAACTGCTATTTTTTCAGATGCCCCCTGGTGTGGCCATTGCAAGGCTCTTGCCCCTGAATACGCTAAGGCCGCCAAGACACTGGCTGAGAGTGGATCAGCTATCAAATTGGGCAAGGTTGATGCAACTGAGGAGCAGGAATTAGCTGAGAGCCACGGTGTCCGTGGTTATCCCACTCTGAAATTCTTCCGCAATGGAAACCCTGTTGAATACAATGGTATAATACTCGTGTGAACTAATTGAACAATTGAGAGATGGTAAATGTTTGCCCAGTTTATTAACTGATGCCTTCTGATCTAGGTGGACGCACTGCCAGCGAAATTGTCAACTGGCTGAACAAAAAGACCGGCCCTCCTGCCAAGGCTCTTGAATCTGTTGAGGATGCCAAGTCCTTTGTTGAGAAGGCTGCTTCTGTTGCTGTCATTGGTTTCTTCAAGGTTTGTATCAAAGAGATTTTAGTATTATCTTCAAGTTTAAAATCGCTTGAAATAATTTCATATCCACAAGTTGTTAGTGAATTAACACAGACTTCTGTTAATCCTGTAGGACCAGACCTCTGAGGCTGCTAAAGTTTTCCTTGCCGTTGCTAGCATGGTTGATGATTATCCTTTCGGTATCACTTCCTCTGATGATGTCTTCGCTGAGTACAAGGTTGAAGACGGCAAGGTTGTCCTCTTCAAGCAGGTATGCAAAGCATCAACTTGAACATAAATGCCTGTTAAAATTTATTTCAAATAACTAATCTAATCTAATCTATTTTTCTAGTTTGATGAAGGACGTGCTGACTTTGAGGGTGAACTTAAGGAAGAGGTTCTCAAGAAGTTTGTCTCCTCCAATGCCCTTCCTCTTGTTGTTGAGTTCAATCATGAAACTGCCCAGAAGATCTTCGGTGGTGAAATCAAGTCTCACCTCTTGATGTTCCTGTCAAAGGAGGCTGGACATTTCGACCAGCACCTTGAAAGTGCCCGCTCTGTTGCCAAAGAGTTCAGAGACCAGGTATGCTTTCTTTGTACATTTTCATTTGCCTCTGGTAGAAAGACAAAAAGCTTAATTTATCTTTTGTTCTCTCTTTTCTTTAGCTGCTGTTTGTTACCATCAACGCTGATGAAGAAGACCACGACCGCATTCTGGACTTCTTTGGCATGAAGAAATCTGAGGTTCCTGCTATGCGTCTTATCCGCCTGGAGGAAGATATGGCTAAATACAAGCCTGCTGATCCTAAACTTGATGCCGACAACATCCGCTCATTCGTTCAGAGCTTCCTTGATGGCAAGCTGAAGGTAACTATTTTTAGTCTACTTGTCAATGAATTTCCTCAAACTCAATCTTAGTGATTAATCTGGAATCCTGGCCCTCAGCAACACCTTCTCTCTCAAGATCTCCCTGAGGATTGGGACAAGAACCCTGTGAAGGTCTTGGTTTCTACCAACTTTGATGAAGTTGCATTTGACAAGGAAAAGGATGTTTTAGTTGAGTTCTATGCTCCCTGGTGCGGTCACTGCAAGCAGCTTGCTCCCATCTACGACCAGGTTAGTTACTTTGAATTGTCAATGTCTGATGTGAACTTTGGGTCAATTTAATGTGTACAGTTATAATTACCATTTAATTTCAATTTCAGCTTGGTGAGAAATTCAAGGACAATCCTGCCATTGTTGTTGCAAAGATGGATGCTACCATCAACGAGCTAGAGCACACAAAAATTCCTTCATTCCCTACCCTCAAGCTTTACGCCAAGGGTGACAACAAGGTCATTGAGTACAATGGCGAGCGTACCCTAGAAGGACTTACCAAATTCTTAGAAACTGGTGGTGTCTATGGTCAGGCTGCTCCTGATGAGGTATGTTGAATTCTTAAAGGTATTTCTTTTCCTCATATCTACAAGTAGCCCTAGTTCATATCTAACTTTGATTTCATTTTCTTTCAGACTGAGGATGTTGATGAAGATGATGACCAGCCAAAGAAGGACGAGCTGTAATTATTTTAAAAGCACACTTCAAAAACCTGAGTTTTAATTGTGTTACCATGTACACAACAATGTACCTGGAAACAAATCAGCCAAATGTGAAAGTAAAGAATGATTGAGAAAGAATGTTTTTGTGACAGGAAAAGCTGCACAAGGCTTATTGTGATTGAGTTTCTTACAACATTTTAATGAAATCGTTCTCCCTTTGGATGAGTGTGATTGAGTGAGCAATGTGCGTTCCATTAGTCACAAGACGTTCCATTGGTTGTAAAATCCATTAGCATTTTAACTTTGTATTAGCAATTTTGCATTTGTTTTTTTCAGTTCAAAGTTTTGATAGCATTTATTGAAGTAAGGTAATTGCTTCGACTGAATTTTTCAGCAAATTTCAGTATTGTTGTTAGTCATTTGTGCTTTGTTGCAAATGTTCAAATGCGATCTGTACTTGTGACTTGTGTGGGAAGCCAGCTGCTTTTTTTTTAACTTTAAATTATTCTAGTTTTTAGTGTACAGCTAGTTCCTGTACAAATCATTACCTCTTTTCCCATTCCTATCTGTTTCATGTTTCGTTATTTTATCAATTTCTATTTAGTACTTTGCTCTCACTCCATCTCCTTGCCTGTATTTTTTTTTCTCTCTACCTTTCTCATTAGACATTTTCTAGCAGTCAGAAAATCTTCAGATGATTGCACAAATCAGGGTACACAAAGTGTCATTAGGCAGATTTGATTTATGTGAATTCTATTTTTCTATATTAACTGGATTGTTTTTAACTGTACTGTGTACATTATTCCTGATAAATTGCAAAGACATCACACACATAGCTATACTTGCAGCATTGATTTGACACAAATCATGTATTTTAATTGTCTTCCCACACAGTACAAACTAAAGTAGTACTTACTAGGTTTTGGAAATTATCAGTGTTGTGCTGCCATAATGAGATTGTTAATTACAGTTGAATCAGTGCTGCAAGTCTCTCTTTAGTAACTTTAATATTTTTTTTAATGGTGTGTGCGCTGTGCTCTGCTGGATGTTGTGGTTTTGCATGTCAACATCGAAAGATAACGGCAGTGGTATTGTGATTAATTGTAAACCTGCTGTGGCTAAACCTCGAGACTGATGTGTTAACAAGTATAAGACAAAACTCTAAAAGAACTACTGTTAAATACATTTTCCACAGAAATCTCATAACTGTTTACGTTTCTTTTCTCTACACCTTTCATTATCCTCCCAGTTGACACAAAACACTCACTTGCAGTCATTTGACTGCTTTGGACTGTATAGGTGAGTTTGTTTCTGCTTATTTTTCTCCTCGCTAGTCAAACTTTAGGCAGAAAGAGTAACTTTGACAGTCAAAAACAAATGTCAAATGACTAAAAGTGAGTGTTTAGTGTCTCTTTGGGCTATTATCAATCACTAAAATTTTGGAACTCAAATAACTACACAACAGAGTATGGAACAGTAAAGGGGAGTAGAGGATTCCCTATGAAATGTACCAAGGGGAGGGAAGTCAGGACTCATTTAGTAATGCCTAATCCAACTAGACACTGAACTGTTTTTTGTGAAATATGTAACACAAATATTTTTTAACCACTGCTCTCAATGCTGGCTCAGAATGTAGTATACTTTGATGAATACATGGATGCGCCGACCAAAGAACATGACACAGCAAGTTAGCATTGCTACACTTTCGTGCAGTACTTGTGCACATGCACGTCCATGAGTCGAAGAAGCAAACCAGTAAGGCTGGGCCTCCCCCTCACATCAGGGGATATAGCTCAGTGGTAGAGCATTCGACTGCAGATCGAGAGGTCCCCGGTTCAAACCCGGGTGTCCCCTGTACACAATGTTTTGTTGATGGTGACTCCGCATAATTTCGCATGCATTTTATTGCAATACAGTCAACCAAATAGACAACTACAACTAGCTAGAAAATTTAAAATGAAGAAATTAAACATTACCAAAGCTAGTAGAACAAGATTTTGAAGGTTTGCGAATGATCCCTTTCGAACATATTCAAAATTACCGGGTCAGCAAAACAAATGAAGCAATAGAAGCAGGACAGTGTTGCCGCGTCAGCGCGTCACATGAAATCAAAAATTAAGAATAAGTGAAAGAAACGCTCTCAATGCTATCGAAACTTAATTTGAAATATCAACACTCTCATATTTTTCATTGAACACTTTCAGAGCAGTGGAACTCGTCTGTAATCTGCGTTTCTCCATCCTATGGATATTTGACAACAGGGCTGCTTGGCTCCCAAAACGCTATTTACACTGCAGCCGGCCTGGGACCTGGGAGCAAGCAAACCGGTAAACGCACCGGCGACGTTTGGACATCTCGTGTTGTTTTGTTTATTGATAGAAAGTTACCTCTAAATAGTTTTAAAATGTCGTACAAAGGACCCCCTAAAGTTCAGAAGGTGATGGTTCAACCCATCAACCTTATCTTCAGATACTTGCAAAATCGTTCTAAAGTACAAGTAAGTATTTCCTATAGTACATGTTCCCCGCTGTGTCCCCTAACCTAAAATTCGTGCAGTCACAACATTATTTTAAACTATAAATGTTCATGTAATCTCTGTACGGTATTTGACCTAAGCGTCTCTTTTCCTGTCATTTTTTCGTACCACCTATTTCCCTTTAAAGAATGCTCTTAAGTAATTGTAAATGTTCAGAAAGTTCTGAGAAGATTTAATTAGCAATGATTTGTGATGCCAGTGGACTTCATTTGTGAACTGCTTTTAAAGATTCTTTCCGTGATTTTACTTGATAACAATTTTTAACTCTTACTTTTTACTTCAGGTCTGGTTGTATGAAAACGTCAACCTCAAGATTGAAGGCCACATTGTGGGATTTGATGAATACATGAACCTTGTGTTAGATGACGCGGAAGAGGTGTATAAGAAGTCTGGCAAGAGGAAGGCCCTTGGACGCATCATGATGAAAGGCGACAATATCACACTTATCCAGAATGTTAATCCTCAAGGAGCAGCAATGCAACCGTAATGAATCTTCCCCAATGTTCAATCTAATATTTTATTTCTAAGACTTGTACTAAAACGTCTGCATACAAATCCCAGAAGAATTTGAGAGGACAACAGTTATCTTTAATTTAATATTAGAAAGTCTTATTTGCATACCCATTTGCCTTTCAGTTTACAGCTCATTCCAATTGTACATAGCATCAATCAACACAATGAAATGTTAAATAAAGGCATTTCAACCAAACATAATTGTATACTTCCTCTTAATCATATTTTGTAGCCAACTATGAAGAACTTACGAACTGCTGAAAAAAATATTATGACACTTTTCTCTAACATGCTGGTGCAGCATGACTCCATACTAGCACCAAGTCAAGTATTTACAATTACCCTTGGAATATATGTATATTTTCTAAATGTACCACAGCCATTTAAGAGTGTGATAGTAACATAAAAGTAAGGGACTTCACGCAGTGTCAGACCTGACCGTGTTGTACTGGCATGAGTTGCAGTTTGCTGTATTGTGTTTATAGTGGTCCTGCCTCACTTTGCCGGCTGCGGCTCGAGTCCCTGCCGCTGGAGTTCCTCCAGCTCGTTGGCGCGCGCCTTGCGCCTCCCGATGGGCGTGCGCTGGAACCAGCTGAGGAACGCCTCCTCCTCCTCCTTGTACACGGGGTCGTGCCTGCTCAGGGCGGCCACCAGCTCGGCGTGCGTCAGCGGCTGCACGCGCATCTGCAGGATCCGCTTGCACGTCATGACGTCCCTCAGCACGGCCAGGATGCGCCCCACCTGCAAGAAGGGAAGGGACGGGGCGGTCAGCGCCCGGAGTGTAGGCAACCCCTCCGCCTCGGGCGCTCAGGTGGTGGCCGTACCGTGTACCCGTCCGAGATCTGCGCGAGCGCGGCCGTGTCGAACTGGCGGTTGACTCCGCTGTAGGAGAAGAGCAGCTCGCTCCAGATGAAGCTGCGGCTGGCGTAGTCCGGGCGGGGGATGAGGATCATCTTGGTGTACACCTGGGCGAGGGCCTTCTGGTCGCACTCCCAGGGACTGCGCGATATGCCCAGCAGGAGCACCTGCAGTCAATTAATGTAAACAATGTCCGCTTATGAGATAAGAAATTTAGTTCTTTAGGGGCACCTTCACGTACCTGGTCCTCGGGGCCTATGCTTTTTATTAGCTTAGGCAGGTCCTTCTTAAGTCGTTTAGGGTCCGTTTTGTCAGTTTTGGGTACTTTCTTTAGAAACGGCTTCTCTGCGCAATCCATGAAAATGACGGATGGCTGCAATAGTCTAGAGGGAAAAGTTAACATATTTGCAGTTCTCCGAGGTGAAAATTTTCTCCAGCCGGCAACTTTTCCTTGCCTTGCCTTATACCTACCTGGACACCTTGCTGACGAGGTGCACGAGCATGACCAGCCCCGTCTTGCCAGGGTATTTGCCCACGATGTTGGCGGCGCTCAGGTCGAAGAGGACGGAGCCGGTCTCCGAGCAGACGGCGTGCACGAGCATGTGCTTCCCGGAGCCCGCCGGCCCCGCCAGCAGCACGGAGCGCACCAGGGGGGACGTGGCGTGGATGGTGGGCGAGCCGAGCGGCAGCACGCAGTACTCGAGCACGGCCTGGCGCACGTCGCCGAGCGAGGGCAGCGGGTCCTTCCCCAGCTGACGCAGCGCGTGGTTGCCATACGAGCGCTCCCCCCTGAACGCGGCCAGCGGCACCTCGGGGTACTTACGGATGATACCGTTGGCCACCAGCTCCTCGAACAGCGACTCGAGGGTGCGATCCGGCGTGAGATCGCGCTCCTTCTTCTTCTTGTTCTTTTTGCCCCCGCGTCGACCCTTCTTGCTGGCCTTCTTGCCCTTCTTGCCCTTGCGCGCGCGATCACGGTCCAGCGCCGCCTGAAGTCGCTCCAATTCTCCTCGCAACATGTGGTCCACCGTCTTCCGCAACTCCGCCTCCACCTGCCCAAAAGTTAAAATAATGCTGTTTCTGCATCTTCGAAAAACTATAGGCCGCCGGTCATTTTCCACCTACCTCCCGCTCCTTCTCCTGGAGGATCATATCTCGGTAGAAGGTCTGTGCTGGGTTGTCTCGCTCATCCTTTTCGGCCCAGACATCCTGGTACACGCTGCAGCCATTGATGAGGTCCCCCAGGTACACGGACGGAATCATCTTGAAGCCAGGATCCTCCTCGTCGTCTGGCTTCTTTTTCGCGGGGTCCTTTTCTTTCTGCGCCTTTTTCGTCTTGTCCTTTTTACCTTATAAATTTGCAATATCATGTCACGTAATTTTCCCTTACTTTTCTCAGCAGAACTAAATTTCCCCCCAATTAGCCTTCCCACACAGACAGTGCGACGCGGGGGCACGTTTGGCGTGGCGCTCGGCCGGCCCCTTACGGAGCGCTAGGGCGGGCCACCGGCTCCACACAGCTGTTTGGCGGGTCGGACTACCCATCGCGTCGCAGGCGCTTCCAGCGGGACAGCGGGACAGCGGGACACTCACCTTTACTGTCCTTGGAGGAGGGCGCGGTGGACTTGCTCATCTCGGACTCGGCGCCCTGTCGGCTGAAGAGCACGGCAGAGCCGCCGGACTCCTCGGAAGGGAAGTCCGGGAACTTGCCCGTGTTGGCCTTGTAGTCCATGTACCAGCAGCGCGCCGCGTCCGCGATCTCCTCCTTGATGATCTCGCCGCGGGTGCGCAGGACGTGCTGCTTCTCGTGCACCAGCGCGAGCTCGTACTGCCGCTGGTGGTCGTGCTGCACCACGCGCCGCGCCTCCCGCACCTCCTCGCTGCGACGCCGCGCCTCCGACTCCACGGCGACGGGGGGCAGCATGCCTGGGACACACCTGGCAGTTATGCCATCCGGCGCGCTGACGTGCACGCGCAGAGAGTCCTCCTTACCTATGAGCAGCATCTCCTCGATCACCCTTCTCCTGATCTTGCGACGCGTGATGAAGCCCCGCCAGATCTTCTGGATCTTGAGCGCGGCCGCGCGCGACCCCGCCCCCGTCTTGTCGTCTGCCAGGGGATCGGGCTTGGCCTTGTCCTTCATGTGGCGGATCTCGCGCATGAACTGCGCCCGCAGGCGGCCCTGGCGCGCGCGCTCGTGCACCTGGATCAGCCGCGTCGCCTCGTCCTCTGTCATCTCCGGCTCGGCACCCTGCGGAACATAGGCCCATCTTAGCGCAAACGCCAACAAGGTACTTCCCTATCCCGTGCGTGTTTTCAATTACCTCATCTTCGTAAAAACCGAGTCGCTTCAGGATGGTGTCGATGGTTTTCCTCCTCTGGCGGATCTCCTCCTCCCTCTCCCGCCGATAGTACTGCGGGATGGTGATCTCGGCCTCCTGGGGCAGGATCCGCATGTCGATGAGGACGTCGTCGTAGTAGCTAAACTCAGACAAGTCTAGGTTGACGAGCTCGTGCTTCAGCTCTAGCATCCTCCCCAAGGTCGAGTCTAGCAGCTTACGGACGAGGATCCTCTTTTGGGGCTGGACCATCTGGTCGTAACACTGGTCCAGGCTGTTCATCACGGTGATGTACTTGACGTACAGGTCGCACACGACGGCGGAAGCCTTTTTCTTGTCCTTCTGGGGCTTGGCACCGTGCAGGTCGGTGTCAATGGTCGTTGCCTCGTCAAGAGTTCTCTGGGCCTCTGCCCAGAGTTTGTCGTAAGTAGAGTGGGACATAACTTGGCCTTGTTCAAGAACCTGCCATCTACCCGGCGTAGCCCGGCGCTCGGCGCGTCGTCGGTCGGGTATTGATTAAACATCAAGGATGGTCGCCGGGTGAGGCTGGCTCTGGCAAGGCAGCGCGCGTAAAGTGCTGGCTTTGGAGTGTGCTGTTTCCGGATCCGTGGCAAGTGGTTACTGCACCAAGTGCATGCTGGGATGTCGGCAGTACTCTTTCCCTCACAACACTGTAACTGTCGTCAGCTAGGCAGCCTCCCAAACAAGGGGGCAAGGTTAGGTAAAGGGAAGTTCTTTGACAATTAATGCTTGACAGACTACAATATGTCGTTTGCGGCGATGACAGCGACTGCCAAGTTTTGTGGTAGCTCCTCCAAATTGTCCTCAATGCGTGGAAGTGCATTGCGGTGGTGTGCTCTCACTACGTCTGCTAAAAAGTGCAAAGACGAAGATGAAATCAAAGGCCTCAAATCAAATCCTTATTTTGGGAAATATTCTGAAAAAATTTCCGAACTTCAGAGAACAACTCCCGAGGAACTGGCCCGTCGTATTGCTGCTATTCGGACTCCCGTACAAGCTAAAGATGGAGAGTTATCTCCTAACAAATCAATTCTTACAACGCCACCTTTTACTAAGAAGAAGCATTTGAGTGATATTATGAAAGTAGAACTCTTGAAAGATAAATCTATGCAAGAGATTACAGAGATATGGTTAAAGCATCACATGTCTGTTAAAGATACAGTGGCTGTAGTTTTACCTGTGGAAGTATATGATCTTATTCTCCAGACAAGTTTAAAACACCCAACTTTTTTGTTACCCCTTCCAAGACCTCATGGCTATGAATATTTTGTCAGTCAATTTTGTGGGGAGGAATTTCATCTTACTCCCCTGATCAACTTTCAGGCATTTAAAGAGAATGCCCCTGAATGTCTTCTGCTAACACACTTTTCTGAATTGAGTAAAGATAAAGGTATTGTGCTTATGAGAGGTGAATTTAATAATGATATCTTAGCTGTTTCCGAAGCAATGTGCTTAACCAATCAGATTCATAGATATTATGGAGAAATAGACACAAAAAGAATGAAATTGCTGGAGAGATTTTCAAATGTACCAACAGAGTTTCGTCACATGGATTTGATTGTAGAACTGGAAAGAATGGCAATGTAACCGACAATGTAAACTGTTTACTAACTGGATGAAGTTCAGCTTTAATAAACATTAGATTCATTGTATCAAGATGCTCATTTAAATTTAAGTGAACGAAAATATTACCCGAATGTATTGTTTATTTTCATTTTACTTTTACAATACATGATATATTTGATTGAAATCATCAAAAATTTCAATACTAGTGTACTGGGCTTCAAAATCATGGTATACTTCTATGATGACACAAAATATTTGATACAATTCACTATAGAAAATAAAGTATCACAAAAATAAGTTCACTCAGATTCTTTCCCAGAGTTAGAAACATGACATTACAACCACTACAATCGAAAAAAGAAGCCACGCATAGCAATTAGCTGCATCTGCACTTCCAAAAACATTTCGATGTAAGAGATACTCATCTACCAACAGTTAATTAATGTTTTCAAAATAATAGACATGTTAATTAACAAGATGTTCCCATATTAAAGATAGTTGATGAATCATAACAATCATGAACTGGAGCATTATAGTAAAGAATAATGATCACAATGGTTGTAAGTGAAGGGTTTTAAATGCAAGAATCTCAAGGAGCGGCCAAAAGTTAAAATGGTTTCAAGAAAATTCTACACCTGCTACGTAAAATTGAAGATGCCCAAGCTCAATGACAGGGGTCTAATTTAAAATTGCGCTACATCTCATTTTGACTAAGTACATAGAAAGGTGTCAAAGATAAAAGTAAAGTGAGAAGTAAAAAAAAGACATTGTGCAAGCAACTGCTGCATGATCTCTAGTGCATAGAATCTAACGGAAACTTAGTTTACAAATCGGACTTTGCTGTTTCACATACGAATGGTATCACATCAGTGGATTTGAGCATGTTTACACAGTTGCCATCGCTGATCAAAACCCACTTAAAAAATATTTCATGGAAATTTACCCCTTACTTTTAAAAATTAAAGAAGCTACTTATGGTACAGTTTTTACATCCAAATTTTAAAATTGTTGACTTCCTTGCATTAAGACTTGAGATCCAATATGTCACAAAGTAATCAAACCGAAGAACATTTCTTTAACTACCACTCACATTACACCACTTACACATCACGCAAGAATAATCTTAGAGTAGAACACAATGTCTAGCTATCTAACCAGCTTCTGAAATGTAACATCAGTTTTATAGTACAGTAGTTTCATTTTCTATTCAGTAACAATAGATGACTAGTCCACAAAATAGTAAGATTTGTTGAGTTATCAATCTTAAGAAAAGGGTAATGGAAATATACTAGATTTCGAAATCAAAATCCTCAATACAATCTTTACTGAGAAACGAATCCAGTTTTCACATTACCTACAACTGAAAAATAAGTGAAGGTATTTATGCCTGCCAGAAAAAAGTGGAGGTATTTATGCCTGGCAGAGTTTCTTTTTCTTTTTAAGTTATTAACACTTTTTCTTCCCTCTGATTTAAACAGGGAAAAAAAATCTCTTTGCATTATTAAAACTACAATAAAAAAAATAGTATTGAGTATTGAAACAGTAAATCTCAAAATAGTAAAGAATTGGGAAAAAGAAATTGGGTCTAGTGCTGCAGTATATTGATAATCTCACTATTTAAAAATCGAAAGAGGTACAAATAGCATCGATGTAACTCAAATTTATGACAGTAGGAGTGTCGTATTGAAGCTCATAGGTAGGCTAGTACTTTGTTAGACATTAGGCAATTGTTTCTGCACAAAATCCTTGATGTCATTCATTTCCTGCAAAAAAAACAACAACAGAACGTTCATTTTGTTACTAATGTCATGAAATAACACGTTAAAGCAACAGTAATTGGACCAACCTCGTCAGAAGACGAATGCATCAATCCCCCATATGTTTTGAATTCAATACTCTTCAAATAACCCTTGAGAATAGAGGCTGTCATCTGTCCCCACTTGAATGGCACAATTGGATCACAATCACCGTGGCACTGAAGGAAAGGAGTCTCCTTGTTGCCAACCACAAACTGTTTGACAGCAGAAAATATGGTAATGTATTGGAACAGAAATAAGAGACATTTAGAAATATATTCAATTTTGAATACTTACACTAGGAAAGCTTTTGTTCAGGGGCAGCCAGCAGGAAAGGGCCACAACACCCGCCAAAGGTTTAGAATAAGTGAGGGCTGAATACAATGCCAAAGCACCTCCCTGAGAGAATCCACCGATAACAATTCTATTAGAGGGTATACCAGCACTAACTTCAGCATCAATCATAGAATGGATAAGTTGAGAAGCTTTTTTAATGCCACTTTCATCCTCTGGACCACTTGCATCGAGCGATTTGAGGTCGAACCTGAAACAATGAAAATAAAAGAGCATCATTATACAGATACATACACAAAAGTATGAAAGTATAGATCAAGATAAAGACTTAACATGACTTACCAGGCTGGCATTTTGAAACCAGAATTGAGGGTGACAGCAATTGTCTGGGCAGTAGGACATATGACTTTCATGAATGGGGTTTTAAGCGCTCCCATTGCGCTGGCCCACCCATGACCAGTGTCTCCAAGACCATGAAGGAAAATAAGCTAAAATGTGGAAAGGCAGATTGTTTACAGTGTGTTAGTGAATAATTGATGATTCCTCATTAATTCAAAAATTGTTAGTGATTACATAATGCCCCTCAAACCTCAATGTATATGAACAACAAAAAAAAAGGACTATGCTAAAATGTTGAAATTTACACAGGATGTGACCATGATAAAACATGTAAATAGAATGAATGTAATTAGGGTGTACTTACAGTGGCAGTGTGTTTGGCCGTAGCTCCAATTACAACCGGGGTGCCTGCCATATTGAGACTAGAGTTATCAAGAGTTGAATGGTGAATTGACACTCTTGAATCAAAAGAAGAATCAATTACTCCGCCACGGACTACTAAAACTAAACTGATAAGAACAATGAGTTTAAAGACGTTCACTTTGATATCCACTGATACGCAGGGCTTCACTAGCAGCACAGACGACAAATTTTGATGTTTTTTTGTCATTTTTGTAACCAGGAAAATTGCACTTATAGAAGCCTGTGAAAGAAAGCGCGCCAAGCTCCCCGATTTCAAGCCTTCAAGCTGTTCACTTGCAATTTGCAAAGATTTGCAGGACTTATGTACTTCAACCAATGGTATGGATTAGCTTTCGAAAACCATCGTTGGCCTTTCTTTTTAATCGAGGTCTTCGGCCTATTTTCATAAGAAGTTACATAACGTACTCCCTCTCCAGCAGAAACAGAAAACAACAATCAATTGAGCGGCTCCCACCACACATACATCCAAGTCGGGTTACGAGACTATTTGTACTCAAAGTAGTAGTGGGGGGCTATGCGGAAAGCAGCGTGGTTTCAGAATCAGCAGAATCAGAGAGAACTTCAGGGTGAGATGAATGAAATATCCTTGCATCCCAGCAAGGTGTTAAATGTCCTGATCCTACCTCATTTTTAAGTTTTTCACGTCAAGCCAAGCTCAGCACTACAGCAGTGGTGGGGGAACTTGACTGTGAATAGTCGTGGATCCGACTTCGGTGTCGGTGTGGAGGGTGACGTTTAGCACAAACAAACAAATAACAAAAACAACCCATTCAGCATTTAAATGTACGGCTTGTGCACTCGATCTGAGTGGCCCAACATCATGATGCTACCCCAACGTCCTGTCCAAGAGGATTGTCCGTTACACGTTCGTATTCAGTGACAACTTTGCCTCGCGTAATAACAGACTTAACTCTGTTGTGTTCTCACTTTCTCGTGTATACTTTTGCAGACACTCCCGACAGAAATTTTTGAAAGTATATTTCAATACTTAGACCCAATATCTATGGTGAGACTATCATGCACCTGTGCCCTCTTTTACAATTTGGTCAACCAGGTGAGTACTGCATGCTCTGCTCTGTAATGTTCAGTTGCTGGTGGTATATTTATGTCTGTCTCTAGTTGCATCAAGTCTCGAAAAGCGATAGTAATCTCATTCTGTCATTCTTTTTCTGGTCCTGTCATAGGTTGCCAAATGGCAAACTTGGACATTGAAGGTAATGGAAAACCCAAGCATGGCACATTTACCCTCTGCTGGTCTTCATTTTGGTGTATGCACCTGGAAACCCCAGGAACTTATACAGAATAAGTATCCTCAGCAAACTCCATGGAAACAAATATTTTATTGCACACAATTCTGGAGTATGATTAAAAACTGGAATTATAGTCTGACATATGAGACATTGGTTGAACACGATGAAATAAAATCTGTTGATATTGCAGGTAAGCATAAGTATTCTCAAATTAATATTGTGCTGGCATATCAGATGGAAACCAGTGTTGGACTAAACTTTCACTGTTACCCTTTGCATGGGATATTATTTAACATCGTTCAGCGAGTTTGCATATTTTATGTCACAAACCCTTGAGAGGTGTTACAATATTGTGTGGAGGATCTGAATATGATGAATTAGCTGTCAGAGTCTATTTTTTATAGATCCTATTGGAGAGTAAAGTAGTTAATCATCTTCACTGGTATTTCCTAAACACTTGTGCCTTTTCTAGGGCAAGATATTGTTTTTGGCACAAACCAAGGAATACTTGGCCTCTGGAACCCTGACCATAATCAAGAGTTAGAGTCCCTGCACCGTTTCAAATCTGAAGTTCTCACAGTCTTAGTAAAACTGTGTCCTGGTGAGTTTTATTTTGATTCTATCAGTCTATCAGCTAACAGAATTGAAGTAAAGGGATGATGTTTAAATATTTCTGTTTGTAGGTGGATATGAATCACTACCAAGATATGAAATTATTGCCAAGTGTAGAAATAGGTCTATTGGTATATATGACATGACAGGTGACAGTGTGAAAATTTTGGGCTCATCAAATTACACAGGGATATCATCCTCGTAAGTTGCAGGATACTTTTTTTTTTCGTAATGCTATAGTTATAAGCTCAATTGATCAATATAATTATTTTGCTTCCAGTTGTGATAGGAATGTATTCTATGAATGGGACCCTGCCAGTGGATTTTTATCCCATTTGTCAATCTCTGAAAAGAAAATAATTTCAAAACAACTTCCACAATTGCCTTTAAATCCTGTAGTGGCAGTGTATGGGTATGATGGAGTCAGTGAAAATGAGAATCAATCCAAATTCAAACAGGTCTCATTTCCCCTTCTTATGGTCAGTTGCCGTAATGGGCCTGCAATTGTCACATTCATTGAGCGACCATCAGGCCATATATTTCAGGTGAGGAATCTGTTGATTTTGAAAATTAAAGCCAACATAAGACACAGGAGGTGGTTGCATTCGAAATCAATTAAGCTGTACCATCATTGTTGTGCTATAACTAAACCAAGTTTGCAGCAAACTATTTAAAAAAAAAATTAATTATTTTACTTTAAAAAAAAAATTCAGAGCCAATATCAAAGCCTACTGACAGAGAATAATTTGTACATTTATAAGGCATATATTTGGCCTGGCCAAGTTTCACTAAGTTTGACAGGTAAACTAATGTTGAAACTCCATGAATTTATCTTATTAAACAGCTTCAAGTTTTCCTCATGTGAGCATGGTTTGCAAAATTCTAGGTGGCGGCCTGACAATTATATCAGTTGGTAATCAAGTCAACAAAATAAGATGGCCATATTGGAAATGGATATGTACATCAGCTGCCCTTTTCGGTAATATCTTTCTTGTTGGAACCAGTACAGGTACAAAAAGATAACTATTATAAATGTAGTTAAATTTATATCTAAAGAGCCCATGCATTCAAATTTGATGATGAATATTTTCATTACAGGAACCATTTTGTTTTACCCGTTTAAAAGTCCAGAAGACCTTCTTAATTTGGATCCGAATGACTATAAAAAGAAATTAGAAACGGGGTCTTCTGAGGCATTAGTGCATGTTGGTATTAGAGTTCAGAATGATATTCATTCATTACCAGACATTTTTGCTGCTTCAAGAACAAAGCTGTTCTGTTTTAGAGTTTAATTTACTATTTTTGTCCTAGCACAAAGCTTTATTGTGATATATTTATCAACTATATTCCATATTTTGTGTAATTTGTTCACTGATTAACAAAACAAAATAAATCACATCCTGCAGATGTGCTTTATAAATCGTAAACAAGCTGCCAATGCTGAACGCTGGCAATCCAATCGTGGGCTAGCTAGCAGCAGCGCCAGCAGCCAGCAGCGCCCCGTCGTATCGTGCCGTCGTGCCTTGCAAAATGTGCACAGCCTTACAACAATACACCATTGGGGTGTCGCCTGGGGGTAGGGCAGGGGCAGGCAGGGGGGTAATCGCACTCGACTGTGAACCCTGTGAACGCTTCCAGTATCACTTACTTACCTGAGTAATGCTGCTGCGAACCATTCGATCTCTAATGGGAGTTGGTCAGTTACCTCGCCGTCATCGGTTTTACTCCCGGAAGGCTGACACGTGTAATCCCGGTCCGACCTCGTCAATCACGTACGAGGTTGTCGAAGCGTGCGCGTTGAAATGCCGACAGCGCCCTTGAATGCAGGCCTGATGCCGTGAGTTTGGTTTGCTGCAGATGCCAGAGCGTTTGCGATGCATGCCCCAGGAGCGGGACCCCCTATTCACAGCCATGGTTGAGTACAACTACCACTACGCCGTCGGGAAGATGGTGCCCATGTTTGAGAAGTCCATGATGGGGCGGCAGAGGCTGACGGACGAGCAGCGCAAGCACCGCGTCGAGGGTATCATGCGCATCATGGGGTCGTGCTCCGCCTGCATCGAGGTGACCTTCCCCGTGAAGCGGGACGATGGCTCCTTCACCCTCATCACCGGGTACCGGGCGCACCACAGCGTGCACAAGATGCCGGTGAAGGGAGGTGGGGCCGCAGGAGGTATCCCATCGGCCGCCCCGGGCAAAGCTAGACTCTTGTACACGTCGCACTTGGCTGCCCGTAGGTATCCGGTACAGCGAGGACGTGAGTTCGGACGAGGTGAAGGGCCTGGCCGCCCTCATGTCCTACAAGACGGCCTGCGTCAACGCGCCCTTCGGCGGGGCCAAGGGCGGGATCAAGATAAACCCCAAAGAGTTCAGCGAGAACGAGTTGGAGAAGATCACCAGGAGGTACACGCTGGAGCTCGTGAAGCGCGGCTTCATAGGCCCCGGCATCGACGTCCCCGCCCCGGACATGAACACGGGGCCGCTGGAGATGAGCTGGATCGCGGACCAGTACGCGAAAACTCTCGGTTGGTGGGTGTGTGGCGCTTTGATCGCTTCCCTAGGGATTCAGACATATAGGCCCAGTGTCACCGCGGGTTGCTTCCTCCGTCCGCAGGCCACTCCGACATCAACTCGTACGCCACGGTCACGGGCAAGCCCATCAACCTGGGCGGCGTGGCGGGGCGGCAGGACGCCACGGGGCGCGGGGTCTACATCGGCACCAACTGCTTCATCCGTGAACCCGAGCTCATGCAGCAGATAGGCCTGTCGCCCGGCTGGCAGGACAAGACGTACGTGGTGCAGGTGGGGCTGAGGCTCGGACTGCGGCGCGCGCCGCGCCCCCACCGGCACCAGGTCGCCCCCTCACATGGCGCTCGCCTGCCCGCAGGGCTTCGGCAACGTGGGCTTCCACACGGCCCGGTTCTACTCCAAGGCCGGCGCCAAGTGCATCGGTGTCATCGAGTGGGACTGCGCCATCAGGAACTGCCAGGGCATCAATCCTCACGTGAGTCGCGCGCGGCGGACGGCAGCGGGCCGCCTGCAGGGGTAGGCCGCGCCGCCACGCACGGCTGCATCGTATGGCCTACCTCGCAGGCGGCCCACCGCAGCACCGCGTAAGTCTCCCCTCCCCCCCTCGTCACACAGGAGCTCATGGAACATCTCAAGAAAACCGGTAGCATCAGGGACTTCCCCGGCTCGGAGGCGGTCGACCGCGACGAATTACTTTGTGCTGAGTGCGACATCCTCGCGCCGTGCGCCACGGAAAAGGTGGTGCATCTGGACAATGCAGGCAACATCAAGGCGAAGGTGTGTGGCGTGTGTCGCGCTCTCGATCTGATTTGGTTCGATTAATACCCGGAGCGACCACATTCCTTTTTCTAAACTATCAATTGATTTTCATTAAATTATTGTGTTGCAGATTATTGCCGAAGGAGCAAACGGCCCCCTCACTCCTGCGGCAGATAGGATCCTGATGGAGAAGAATGTATTAATTATTCCTGACATCTATTTAAATGCTGGAGGAGTTACAGTTTCCTACTTCGAATGGGTCAAAAATGTCAATCATAAGTCGTTTGGCAGATTGAGCCTGAAGTATGAAGAGGGAACACAACTGCATCTCCTTGGTAGGAAGATTAGATTAAATCTTTTTTGCCATGAAAAATTATCTCATTGACTGACAGGGTTTAACCTTTTTGCTTTACCTTGTTTGGTTATTTTTGCTGCTAGATTCAGTGGAGAAGTCTTTAAACAAGTCCCTTCCTAACTGCAACATAGAAATTCGACCATCAGAAGAATTCAGACGCAGATTAATAGACGCATCAGAAAAAGAAATAGTCAGAGCAAGCTTGGAGGCAACGATGGAAAAGACAGCAGCAGTACGTATTTGACCTGCTCCCTTTAGCATATTGTGCTATACTCCTTGGTTGCACTCCTATTTGTTTGATCTCTTTTTTTAATGCAGGAAATTAAATTCATGGCTAAGGAACATAATTTGGGAATTAATATGAGAATTGCTGCCTACTGTAATTCACTCTACAAAATTTATAAATGCTATGAAGAGGCTGGTTTAACTTTATAGGTTTTACTGCACATTATTGCCATTTTATCTTTGTGATTCACATTTAGTGTATAATAGAGTAAAATGGCCATTTTCCTAAGTATTTATACTCTGTACTATTTTATTGTATTTAAGCATATCTGTTCAATGAAGAACTTTTTTCATAATTTATGTTTTCATTTCATTACTAACTATTTGTTGCAGTGCAAATTTTGCAATAAATTCCTTATGTTTTGAAAGAGTTGTGGAGAGAGTGTAATTACTGTTTATGACAAAATCTTTAAAAAAATAAAATGATAACATAGACCATTTTTATTGTCATAAAACTGTAAAAAATGTACATTAAGTAACTCTTTGATTGTCATGATGGCAAGGGGGGTATCATAGCAATGGGTCAGTCCGAATCTTCACTGAGTTTGACACGTTTGGTTCCGCCTTGTGGAGGAGTCAAGTTAAAACCATACCGAAATGGAGCAAATGTGTCCAACCCATTGCAAACCCGGACAGACTTCTGATTTGACTCTTCTTTGCTTGGTGCTATGTCAGGGGTTGGCAGGGAAGTTCCAGCAGAGTCTGTCTCTTCTTTGGATGGCGTTGGGACTGTGGTAAGATCGGTATCAGAAGAAGTATCTGGCTCTCCTTTGATTTTAGGTGTGGCAGGGAGGGTAACAGTAGAAGTATCTGGCTCTGTTTTGATTTTATCTGAGGCAGAGAGTGTAGCAGTAAGAGTATCTGGCTCTTCTTTGATTTGCTCTTTGGCAGGGAGGGTAGCAGGAGAAGTATCTGGCTCTTCTTTGATTGGCACTGTATCAGGTATTGTGAGAGTGCGATTGCCAGATTTGGTAGAAGACCTATAATTGTTGGAAATGGTGCGGTAAGCTGTCATGACAGTCCATGGCAGGAGCGATGTTGACAGACAAGCTCACTCACCTTAGTTCATCCCGCACTCTCATGAGCAGCTTACCCAGATGGTTGGCACCAGTAGTGACACGGTGTTTGTCGCACTGACAAGCTCCCCAAAAGTTGTCATGCCACCTGTTGCCCTCAATCAGCTTGGCCTCACCCGTTGCCAGCAAAAGGGTGGCGAACTCAGTGTTCGGTGCAAACTTGAGAGAGAGAATCTCATGCATCAGGTCAACCTGAAATGCAACAATGGAATAAAGTTGCGTGGCAGATTCTCTGAGCAGGCAATCACGCTGGGAATACCTTGACACTCTCCCAGTCGGGACGCAGCTGAACGCGCCGACCAAGCCGCTTGACGACGACCGGGTTCTTGTTGACAACAAGTGAGAGCTTACTTGATCTGTCGAGGCACTTCGCGGCCTGAAAGGCGTGCTCTACGGTAGGGTACTCGATACCGTCCTGCACGATAGGGGACTTGTAGAAATTGCTGAGAAAGTGGTAGTCCCCACGGAAACTGGTGATCTCAGAAGGGGGTGGACCACTGGGCGCAGGGGGTGCAGACCCACCATCCAAACGAGCCCCCGCTTAAAAAAATAAGGCCAAAGAGAGGGATTTAAAAGTAATTACAATAATATTTGAGGTCGTGGTGAGTCATGCAGACGGCACAGTCCCAGTGAGTAGTCCTAGCCAGAGATGGAATTCGAGCGACGTAGAATCGACGTCGACGTAACTCGAAAAACCCCGGTCAAATATGGCGCTTTTTGATTCCGTTTTTCTTGTAAAAGCTCGGAGTGGCAGGTATTATGTGAAGTTCCTCTAGAATTACTGATAGTTGCGCAACTTTCTCAGGCTGCGGCCGGTTAGCGACCTACTAATCAAAATACTGAAACGGGAGCCGATACTAACACCATTTATCACCGGTTCCTCACCAGTTGCCTTCCGTTTTCGATTCATGATGAAATGGTATCAACTGAAAGTATGGTCGTGGTCGTTCTGGCGAAAGAAGGTGACAAAACCGTACTGTACTCCCTATCTGTCAAGCGTCAGGTCCGAACTTGTTTGTTTTCGTAGCAGACGACAGGCAGACTACTACAAAATAAACTTCTACTATTCTACTTTTTCAGTTGTTTAAATTTTGAGCTTTTCCCTTTGCAACAATTTATAAAATTATGGAAATGTTTTACAGGTTTATTTGAACAGTTTTGTTTGGATATGTTACTTCTAATCTTTTGTTACGGAAACTACTTTGAACAAACATAGCAATTTTCTCACCTCTGCAACTGAGGGACAACAAACTTGGTGTTAAGGTAAGGCGGATCTGACCACCGCTCTTACCTCTCGATTTGACATGATATTTTTCGTCATTTGATTGCATAATCTCATGAAAACATCTTTTAGAACATTGATTTGGTCAAGGGGCATTATTATCTTTTCCCTCTAAAATAAATTTTGACGTTTGGTGGCTGGCCACACTGAAGGCCACTTGGCGGTATTTGAATCCATCAAACGGTTTGATTTGAAGCATGTTGATATTGGCTGATGTCCTCCTAACCTGACGCGTTAGTATCTTATCCACATTTAATTTCTAATTCTGTGAATATGTGATGAGCAGGCAAAGTTAAGGTAGCATTTGTTGTTAGGAGACCATCCGTTTCTTACTGTCATCACTAGAAGTCTTTGTTCAGATTACGAAACCCAAAACACGAGGAACAGGTTGTGTTTGAAGAATTTTCCTTTGTTGTAAGAGTGTAACATGTCATTGTAAGTTAATTTCGTTTGATCCATTTGTACAAGTCACGGTTTTCAAGTCACAGTTTAATAGCCACTCGTAGCTACTTAATCAGTCTGGTCAATTTTCAATTGACTTGGTGAAATTATTGTTGCACAACTGAATACTTTACTCTTGTTCATCTGTTGCAGACAGCCCTTTGTTGTCCATATATCAGTGTTTTAAAGTAATTTGGTTCTCAATCTTTATTTGTTTTATCTGGTCTGAGAATAAGTTGGTGTTTTATGTCTGTTCATTGCTTGTTAATGAATCCGGCCTTTGGTCTACTACTCAGTGTAATTGTTAATTCATGACTGATTGGTTTCTCTTGTTTGTATGTTTAGATTTATCATGGACAGTTCCATTGAAGATAGCCCAGTGGTGTCTAACAACAAGTTTAAACCCAAGAAAACTCTAAATTTTGATACTTCAGATGAATCAGTCAATGAGAATGATGCAGTCTCTGATTCTGATGACGGCACCAGGAATATATCAACTGACTTGGTAATTCCGGCTTCTGACAATGAAGAATCTGAACTTGAAAGTTCAGAACTGAGAAATTCTAGAAGTTTCAATTCAAGAAATTCTGAATCGGGTGATTCTAATATAGATCCTGAATCAGGAGATGCTGAAGTAGATGGTTCTGAATTAGGAGATGCTGAAGAAGGTGATTCTGAATCAGGAGATGATGAAGTAGGTGAATCTGAATCAGGAGGTGATGAAGT